ACCAAACCACTGGACAACACCAGGCCACTGGACAGCACCAAACCACCGGACAGCACCAAACCACCAGACAGTACCAGACCACCAGACAGCCCCAAACCACCGAACAACTCCAGACCACTGGATAGCTCCAGGCCAATGGACAACACCAGGCCACTGGACAACACCAGGCCACTGGACAACTCCAGACCACCAAACAGTACCAAACCACCAGACAGCTCCAGACCACCGGACAACACCAGACCACCGGACAGCACCAGAGCACCAGACAGCCCCAGATCAACGGACAGCTCCAGAACACTGGACAATGCCAGACCACAGGACACCAACACCAATAGACCACTGGACAGCTCCAGACCACTGGATAGCTCCAGAACACCGGACAACACCAGGCCACTGGACAGCACCAAACCACTGGACAGCAGCAAACCACCGGACAGTGCCAGACTACGGGATAGCTCCAGAACACTGGACAGCTCCAGACCACCGGACAGCACCAGAACACTGGACAGCTCCAGGCCACCAGATAGTAGCAAGCGGTGGACCACTGGACAGCACCAAACCACCGGACAATACCAGACCACCGGACAACACATGACCACCAGACAGCGCCAAACCACTGGACAGCACCAAACCACCAGACAGCACCAGACCACAGAACAGCACCAGACCACAGAGCAGCACCAGACCATGAGATTGTAGCAAGCTGTGGACCACAGGACAGAACCAGACCACTGGATAGTAGACCAATGGACAACATCAGACCACAGAACAGCACAAGACCAACGGACAGCACCAGAACATTGGACAGAGCCAGACCAAAGAACAGCACCAGAACACCGGACAGCACCAGACCACCTGATAGAAAAGACTAGTGGTCCACCAAACTGCAGCCGTCCCTGCAGGCATTAGTAGGCAGTGAGCCACCAGACTTTTTTTTTACCCCTAGATAATTAAAATAAAAACTTGAGGAACAAAATGACCACATTCCTTCTTTACTGCAGTGTAGAGCTACCAGGGAGTGAAGCTCAAATGGCACTGATTTAAACCACTTTAATTTAAGACTGAATCAGCCAATTCTTATATTTTAATGTCTTAGTTTGGTTATGGGGATTTTTTGTTTGTCTTGTTTTGTTTTTGTTTTTTTAAATCGGTCCTCCCTAGTAGTTCCACAGACACTGAAACTGCTAACAAGCACAGAAAAAGTACACGTGCTATCACCAAAGTTCATGTTCAATACACCAAAGTTATACTTTGTATCATTCCAGCTGAATATAATTAATGTTTTTGTTTTTTGTAAATCAAAATCCTGTGAAGCTGCAAACAGGGAGGTTTCTGCTGAGCGTGCAGCTGATTCTTGTGTTTACAGAGCCTCAGCCCCGCTTTCTGGTTCAGTCCCCGTACAGCCGTTTCAGCCGAGTCCTCGGCTATTTTTAGAGGAAAAAAATGCTCATTGAACTGATGCTGCTCCGAGACAAACACAAGGTGCATCGTAGTGCCGGATCACTCCCTCAGGAGCTCAGGTGAAAGAATGTGCAGGAACCTTTCACCAGGTGAAGACAAAAAACAAGACCTGGAGCTGAGTCTGGTTCACCCACAGAGCTCCGACCTGCACCGTCAGGCTGTTTTTACTTTAACGGTTTCTAAAACAAAACAGAAAAAAAAGATCTGACATTTCTTCACTCGGCTGTAAAACCTGGTTATTTTAGCTTCCACGTCAACATGAACCCATAATAAAACCTGCTGGGTTCATCGTCTCAAGTGACTGATTAGAGACAAGAAAAACACCATTCGTCCCTCTGAAAGCCATTAGAGCCGAAACTGCATTCAGCTGCACACATTCGGCTGATAATTCTGAAATGAGACAAAAAAATATAAGAAGATCCATGATGGAGAACATGATGTTGGCAATCTCTGAATGTGGACTTTTGGAGTAAACCTGATTCAAGATGACCGCCACAGCTGATCAACCTTACAAACACAGAACATATCTAAAACTAGTCTGTAACCGTGAAATCTCAGATCAGTCACACTTTATCAGTGTGTATACGGTGCTGGAGTAGAGTGATGCATTCAATGTGTGTCGGACGTCTCCCTCGTGCCATTTACTTTAATGAATTAACTCACTTTGATGCTCCTATTTGTAGTTAACTACTTTTATAAACCAGTTGCAAAGTAGCTGTGCGTCACCATCAATGTTCTCTCAGTAATAGATCTGTTTGTATTAAAGTAAAGATGTGTGAAATCATGTGTGAGAGTCACGTCCCAGAGACGGTGTGAGCGTTGCATAGCATGCTGGGTAGGACTTATGTGAGCAATGTTTCTGACTGTTTACGGTGTTTCTGAGTGTGAAAATGGGTTTTTCATGTGATGTTCCTGTTCTGGTTTGGTTTAGCTTCAGTTACGTTAAAGTCTCTGTTGTTGGCTGTAAACTGACACCATGAGTCAGAGACTGTTTGCTATAGATATGAGGGGGGGAAGTATTGTGAGCTTGGTGACATCACTGGGTGGTATTTCACTTTGTTTGACTCAACATAATATAAAATAATATATATAGCATAGGTCTGTGTAGATCACTATTCTCCTTTAAGCTTTAAGTGCATAGAACGGTCTTCTTAAAAAATCACCAAACTTAAATTTAGCAGATTTAAATTTTGTGAAAGTTAATTCTGCCAAAGGTTTTCCAAGTTAGCAAAAACGCTGATCCATTAAACGGAAAGTTACTGCCACTTTTTGTGGATTAGCCGAACCATGCTCACCACTGGCTCCAGAGGTAATATATTCAATTCAATTCAATTTACTTTATTAATCCCAAAGGAAAATTAAATGTTGTAGTTCATCATCCTGGTTTCATTAGGAGTTGTTATATACAGTATGCTGATGGCTGTGGGCAGGAGGGATCTGCAGCAGTCTGTACCACAGTGGATCTGAAGCATCTGGCTACAGACCCAGCAGGCCTCTAGGTCCTCCTGGGCAGCAGGACCACCTGAATGTTTGGCAGAACTCTTCCCTGAGCGATGGCCACTCCTCTCAGCAGCTTGTTGAGCTCCTCATCATTGCAGACAGCCAACTGCAGGTGTCGGGGGAGGAGCCTGGTCTTGTTGTCATGAGCCACATTTCCTGCCAGCTCCAAGGATCTCAGCAGTCAGTCAATCGAGCGCCTCCGCTAGGTAGATGGAGATGCATCCACAGTGCCTCCTTTACAATTCATTTGGGATTTGGGGGTGCATTTGAGGAACTATTTGAGCTTTGAGATATTAATCGACTGCTCCCGGTTGTAAAAACCACCTTGTTGCCATAGTTACGCTTCATAACAAATGTCCAAAAGTAAAAAGGTTTTCATAAAAAATCCTTCCAGTCGCACAGGATCTGATACCAGAGGAAAAAAATCATTAAAAAAAAACATTTATATCCAGAACAAAGAGGAAATAAAGGTTTCAAAAGCAATATCCCAGAATGAAAGTAACAGCTACTCCAACATGCAGCAACTTTGAGCAGCGCAATTCTAGAATATATATGGTATATACTGTATATATAGTGTTTGCTCAAAGGCA